TTGTTCAGTAATAGTGTGCTGGGACACTTTGGTATTTTTATGTCTGATTTTGTAAGCAAGTCGTTTTTAAGTGAGGTGAAACTTGGGGGTTCGCAAGACAAATCTGAAAGGGGTAGAGTGGTCTGGAAAGGTTGAGAGCCACTGCCCTAATGTACCTTCATTTGCTTATTTAGCTGCCTTGCAAGTCCAGTTCAATTTCCCCATCGAATCATAGAAATGTAGGGCTGGAAGGGATCTCGAGAGATCATCTAGTCCAGCCCTCTATACTGAAGAGGGACCAAGTAAACCTAGAGCAGGGGTCGGCAACCTTTCAGAAGTGGGGTGCCAAGTCTTCATTTATTCACTGTAATTTAAGGTTTCCCGTGCCAGTAATACATTTTAATGTTTTTAGAAGGTCTCTCTCTATAAGTCTATATTATATAACTAAACTATTGTTGTATGTAAAGTAAATAATAGTGCAGCGAGGTGAGCAGGGCCGGTGGCTGGTATCCCAGGCTGGCAGCGGGCTAAGCGGGGCCAGTGGCCAGGACCCCGGATGGCAGGGGGACGGTGGCTGGAACCCCAGATTGGCAGCGGGCTGAGCGGGGCCGGCGGTCAGGACCCCAACTGGCAGCAGAGTTCCACTAAAAATTGGCTTGCATTCCGCCTTTGGCACATGTGCTGCAGGTTGCCAACCCCTGACCTAGACCATTCCTGATGGGTGTTTATCTAACCTCTTCTTAAAAATTTCCAATGATGGGGATTCCACAAGCTCCATCACTAACCTGTTCCAGTACATAACTATCCTTATAGTTAGAAAGCTTTTCCTAATATCTAACCTAAATCTCCCTTGCTGCACATTAAGCCCATTACTTCTTGTCCTACCTTGCAAACATGGACAACAGTTGCTCACCAGTCTCTTTATAACAGGCCTTAATGTATTTGAAGTCATGTCAGGTTTTCCCTTCAGCCTTCTTTTCTCAGGACTACATGCTGATTTTTTTAACCTTTCTTCATAGATCACATTTTCTAAATCTTTTATCATTTTTGTTGCTCTCCTCTGGATCCTTTCCAATTTGTTCACATCTTTCTCAAAGTGTAGTGCCCAAAACTGGACACAGTACTCCAGCTGAGGTCCCACCAGTGCTGAGTAGAGCAGGACAATTACCTCCTGTGTCTTACAGACAACACCCCTGTTAATACATCCCAAAATGATATTAGTCTTTTTTGCAATTGCATCACATTGTTGACTCATAACACTGGTCTACAATTTTTGAGAAGTCGTCTGCTTCAGAGATAAAATGTGCTATTTATTATGTATTTTGATGTGCTGAATTCAAATATGACAATTAAAACAACTGATTGGCTACTGTTTCTAAGATATTTAGGTTTTTACATTTTAATCATAAATTGTAAACCTAGGTCTTTTTATGTTTTTTT